TTTTTAGTTGTCCAGATCATTTCTTTCTATTTTTTAGTAGAGACGAGGTCTCACTCTTGCTCAGGCTGGTCTCGAACTCCTGACCTTGAGCAATCCACCCGCCTTGGCCTCCCAGAGTGCTAGGATTATAGGCGTGAGCCACCGTGCCCGGCCTTCATATATACTTTGAGAATAGTTTTTTTTTTTTTTTTTGGCTCTTCTATCTAGTCTTTCAAAAGCATTCAACTTGATCCTCACAGAAATAAAGCTGTCTTTTGTGGTCATGTTTTATTATCTCTGTACTGATATCTGATTGAATCACAATAATAAGAACTACCGACAGAAACAGAAATAATTTAAGAGACTCTTAATAAGCACACAACTCAGTTATTGGGAACAGGTATATGTGGGCATGCCAAAGAGTAGCCGACTAGCCACAAGGGTTCAGTGTGCTATAGGCCTTAGGCAGTATGTTTTCTAGACAGAATAAGAACTCCCTGAGAGATTTCTGTCATGTTTTTATTATGCTACAGCACCATATTCCCTATTATCTACATGTCTTTGCTCCTGCTGTTGTTTTCTTATGAAGGGGCATTCTTCCCCCTTTCTGTGGTTGGCTCTACTGTTCAGCTATTAGCTGAGGTTTTACCTCCTCCAGAAAGCTGTCTCTTATCACCTTAGACTAGGTTAGATGTTACTCCTCCTATATCTTCCTAAGAATCTTGTGCTTGTTCTTCTTTTCGTGGATCATATCACATTGTTTTCTTTCTTTTTCTGAGACACAGTCTTGCTCTGTTGCCTGGGCTAGAGTGCAGTGGCGTCAGCCTAGCTCACAGCAACTTCAAACTCCTGGGCTCAAGCGATCCTCCTGCTTCAGCCTCCCAAGTAGCTGGGACTACAGGCATGCACCACCACGCCCAGCTAATATCTTTCTATTTTTAGTAGAGACAGGGTCTCGTTCTTGCTTAGGCTGTCTTGAATTCCTGAACTCCAGGGATCCTCTTTCCGCCTCGGCCTCCCAGAGTGCTAGGAGTACAGACGTGAGCCACCATGCCCAGTCTCATATCACATTCTTTTTTTTTGAGACAGAGTCTCACTCTGTTGCCTGGGCTAGAGTGCTGTGGCATCAGCCTAGCTCACAGTAACCTCAAATTCCTGAGCTTAACCAATCCTCTTACCTCAGCCTCCCGAGTAGCTGGGACTACAGGCATGTACCACCATGCCT